TTTGATAATTCACCAGAACTATGGTACACAGATAATACGCACCTTGTATGTTTGTTTGCAAACCACTTCCTCCCCCTGGGAGGTATTTTCATAAGCACTCTATGCTAATTTTTTTACAGCAACATGTAAAAAAAAAAAAAAATAGCGTAGCAGCACTTATGAGAATACTTCCTGGTGAGGGGGAAGCGGTTTGCAAACAAACGTAGTAGAAGTCACGTGTTATTTGCATAAAATGCGGTGTACTTACAGAACTCTCAGAAAGCACTATACTCACTATTACAGTCTTAAACTGTAGAAAAAAAGAATACAAATGAAGAGATACACAGGGAGAGTTCCGGGAGGGTTCCTGACATGGAGCTTCCATGTCCCACAAAGGGACACACTACCCTCCCACTTGCATCCATGTCTTTCGCCAACCAGGAAGCCCATGGAGCTTCCATACCCGGAACCTTTACTGGGGCCTCATTACGCAGGCATGATTGATCAAATCAGCCCCCTCCCCTCACTGACTTCAGCTGATACCACGAGGTGGTCTTTCTGGTCATCCCCACCTGAGACACCTCATTAGCATAAACCCTCAGGTATGGTCTGGAGGTCTCATCAAAGACACTTTAATCACTGGGGAAATTCCAAAGTTTTAGAGATTCTCTCTCAGGGACCAAGGATAAAGACCAAATTCTCTGGATAAAGTTAACCCCACAGGAGGTGACACTGATGCTACTGATCCAGGGACCAGACTGTGTGGACCATGGGACTAGAGAGCATGGTCCCAATTCGGTGTATGTCGACAGCTCATTAGGAACCCCGATGATGGGGAATTTCAGACAGGTTGGGGAAGACGTCATTGGAAGATGGAAGGCAGGCTCAGGCCTTTTGTCCCTTCTCGTCATGGTGACAATGACCTGTTTGTTGGTGTGCAGTGGCTTTAGACAACCACTCCCATTGCAGCAAGCCCCTGCCAGCTGCATCTCTAAGCATGCTTCCCTCTCCAGGTGAAATGGCCCTTCTTCCTAATAAATTTGGATTCCCAAATCAGTGCATCTGTCTCTGGAATGAGTGCTGGAACCACCTCTTGTGAAAATGTGGGTTCTGAGTCAGTAGCTTTGGGGTGGGACCTGAGATCCTTGTGTGTCTAACAAGCTCCAGGTGATGCTGATGCTGCTGGTCCCTGGCCCTGCACGTTGGGGAGTGAGGCCGTAGTGTGCCTGTAGAGCAGATTCTGAATCGTAACTGTATATACCAATGGCTCTCACCTGGGGAGATTGTGTGTGTGTGTGTTTTGAAAATATACACAACAAAACATTTGCTAATTCAACAGTTTCTACATGTACAATTCAGTGACATTGATTAAACTCTTCATGTTTTGCAACCCCTATCCCTATCTTTTTCCTAATTATTTCACCACCATTAAGATAAACAATATTTAGTGAGTCTGCCACATTTTAAGATGCCTAAGTAAAAATAGGAGCCGAGGTGGCACAATGGTTAAGCAGTCAGCTGCTAACTAAAATGTTGAGGTTTGAACCCACCCATTGGCTCCACAAGAGGAAGACCTGGAGATCTGCTCCTGTAAAGATTACAGCGTAGGAAATCTAACAGGGGCAGTTCTATTCTGTCACATGGGGTCGCTATGAGTCAAAATCTACTGGGCACCGCCTAACAACAACAACAACGATGACATAAGCTCGATGCCCTTACCTGGGGAGCTTTTAAGAGCCAATACTTGGCCACACCCCTGAGCGATACTAATTTAATTCTGAGCTTTGGGACGTTTAACCCCCTTCCATGTGATTCCAGTGTGCAGCCAGGGTGGGAAACCAATAGCCTATACAAAGAGATGCCACCTTCTAGTTGCTCAAGTGTGTGCCCAACGCCATAGTCTAAGTCTGGCCAGTTGTTTAGTCGGGGGGAAGGATGCACCAGTTGTCCTAGAGAAGTGCTGCAGACTTCCCCTGGGAATTTCATTAAAGTGCAGATTGTGCTTCAGCAGGTCTGGATGGGATTCAGGTGTCTGCATGTCTAACAAGCAGCAGGTGTTGCTGATCCTGCTGGCCCAGGACCACACTTTGAGCAGCAAGGCTCTACCCCAGCGGTCCACATGATCCCCACTATCGCTGGCAGTGACAGCGGCAGGTGGCTTTTCTCCTGTTAAGTGTCAGAAGCTTCTGCCTCTTGCCTCCTCCCCACTTAAACACCGTCTTGACATCTCTTTCTTTCAGCTCGGCATTGACACAGGACACTGAGCAATAAAGGTCTGTTCTCTTTTGGTAACATTCGATTTTTCTTGTTTCTCTTTCCACAGTACGAGATGCAAAAAATCTAATCCCTATGGATCCAAATGGGCTTTCAGATCCTTACGTGAAGCTGAAACTTATTCCTGATCCTAAAAATGAAAGCAAACAGAAAACCAAAACCATCCGCTCTACACTAAACCCTCAGTGGAATGAGGCCTTCACGTTGTAAGTCGTCTCTTCTTCATTGAATCCCCTTTCTATACACCACGCAGCTGCCCACCTCATGATTAGAGATAACGAGAGGGTTCATTATGACTTTAAGCATCTCTTCATCCCTGAGACCTTCTCTACTGCTGTTAACTGTTATCATCCCAGTTTGATGGGTATCAATTTGGTTTACCAAGAAGTTACATAATACAGGCCTCAAATTATTATCTCTACCTACTCTGTACAAACATTTCTGTGCGAGGTATTACAAACCAAAACCAAACTGAACCCATTGCTGTCGAGTCAATTCCGACTCATAGTGACCCTATAGGACAGAGTAGAGCTGCCCCATAGGGTTTCCAGGGAGCAGCTGGTGGATTCAAACTGCCGACCTTTTGGTTAGCAGCCACAGCTCTTAACCACTGCACCACCAGGGATCCAAAGTATTACAGGTAGTATAAAAAAGTTTAAGATATGTTCCCATCTGTTGATGGACTTAGATTCTTTTGGGGATTAGGGGAGGGTATAAGGGAAGAATTTAAAAAATAATTGAAAACCTTGGAATAAGGAGTAATATAGAAAGTGCCATTCCCACTGAAATGGGAAGGTCATCCTTACCTTCAGTCAGGGAAGACTTCCTAGAGGAGGTAACATTTAAAGTGGGCCTTGAAGGACTGCCAGGATTTCAGAGATGGATGGTGGAAGGGAAAGAAGGAGGGAGGTATTTAGAAGAGAGAATGGCATACACAAGCTAATGTTGAGAAAGCACTGACTGCAACTAAGCACAAGCAAATGGTCCTCTCTGTAGACTAGAATTCAAGAAGCAGTCTATCTGTGAACAACCAGAAAGGGAGCTCTTGATTGTACAGAACAGTGGCCAGCAGCCTTTTTTCTGTAACAGGCCAGATAGTAAATATTTCAGATTTTATGGGCCATATAGTCTTTGTTGCAACTACATAACTGCTGTTCCAATGCCAGAGCCCCCTTAGACAATATGTAAACAAATGTCTGTGGCTGTGTTTCAATAAAACTTTATTTACAAAAACAGGCAGTGGGCCAGATTTGGCTCATGGGCCATAATTTGCTACCTCCTAGGCTAATGCCTTTGGTTGCCAGGATAAAAGGCTGATACTTTGTGGCAATTCCGAGGCCCAGTGAGAGAATTGAATATACCATTTTTCTATCTCAGGTTCAGATCATGAGCATGTGGTATCTCCCAAGAACCAATTATCAAGATAACCTGGTGTGTGTGTGTGCTGTCTCTTATAGCAAATTAAAGCCTTCAGACAAAGACCGACGACTGTCTGTAGAAATCTGGGACTGGGATCGAACAACAAGAAATGACTTCATGGGATCCCTTTCCTTTGGAGTTTCAGAGCTGATGAAGATGCCGGCCAGTGGATGGTAAGGAAGCCCCTAAGGCTGAGTGTGTTTCTGTCCACCCAGAGTTAATTGTCTTAAAACATTAGACCACTTAGAGATTCATAAAATATGCTCATGTAAATCTCTGAAGTGTGTTGAATATGTAGTTATCTGGTCTAGTCTCTCCATAGGACACATTTCACAAAACAGCTTGACTAGAGGCTGGAAGAGAGGAGGTGGGGAACCTGTGGTGTTGCTGTAAACAGTTGAATTAACTCTTCTTGTCTCCTGTGTCTTTAAAGGTACAAGTTGCTTAACCAAGAAGAGGGTGAGTACTACAATGTACCCATTCCAGAAGGGGATGAAGAAGGAAACGTGGAGCTCAGGCAGAAATTTGAGGTGAGGATACCAGCGAAATTCCTGGAACCACCTTTCCTCTATAAAGCACAATGTTAGGAAAGGCCAAAGTTTTGTGGTCACACTGCTTGAAGGAAAAAGTCGTTCTAATGTTAATAATACTTTTCTTTGTGTTAAAAACACAAATGTGTGATTTTTCTTTGCTAGCTGTTGACATTCTGTGTCTATTATCATTTAGAAAATGGAAATTGGAAATGAGCATGGCTGGGTTTTGCAAAGGAAATCGGTTTGCACATCAGTGGGGAGATGGGCAAGATTCTGTGTGCAGTATTCTCATTACAAAGAAGGTATTGTGTTCCTCAGAAGAGGAGAAAATCAGTTTGGCTTTTCCTTGGAAATTTGGAGTCATTGAGCTGTCATGCTGGCGTCTGACTTTTTTTTTTTTCCTACAGAAAGCCAAAGGTTCCTAATTTTGCTCGAAGAGACCAGCCTAAACAAATACCCTATTGTGTTTGAGATTCTCTTGGATATTGGCACCAGGTCTTTAGAAAAGGCCACCCTCATTCTCATTCTTCCCATTGGGTTTTAGTGTTTGTCCTTGTCCCAGATTCCTGGTCTTCTTTCTCCCTCTCTCCTCCTCCCTTCTCATTTTCATCTCCCCTCCGTCCCTCCTTGTCGTTCCTTATCGAGCATCTCAGCTTTTGGTGAACATGATTTTCTGTAAGCACCTGCCTTATGTACTAAAATCACAACTTTTAATTTTTTCTACTTCTCTAATCACCTTCATTTTGGCTGTTTGAGGAGTTTACAGAGTAGCCTATAATCCGTTTATATATCTTCTTAATTCCTTTTTGTATCTTTTTCTTCTTCAGACTAATTAGGATTCTCTGGAATTCCCCACCCCCAAGAGAAATACACATATACGCGCGAGTATGTTCGCATAGATCCTGAACTGTTACTGAAAAGTTGACGCTAACAGGATGTTAGTGGTCTTGTTTTCCTCCTTCTGTGGTTTTCTTCTCCCAAATAATATTCTGTCCTGCAGAAACACATAGGTCTTATCCAGTTAGAATGAATTCCAAAGAATGTAAAACACGAAATTGTTCAAATTATTTTATTATTCTGATGTTAGTGGCAAATACTTTAGGGAAGGTGGCTCTAAGCTTGGATGCCCTTAGGAGTATAAATGAGTGAAATGAACCACAAGCAATATTAATATGTGACAGTTGGCAGCAGGCCTCAGGGTTGGCAACACAATAGGGAACGTTGGGAACCGGGGTGAACTGGTGAGCATGGATCCCCTTTAAAGAAGGAAGCCACTGGTATTCGGTGGCATCTGATTATTGCCATGCACAAATAAGGGCCCATGTTGCCAGATCTTCCAGTTCTTCAAGAGATGCCAAAAATACAGATTTCTATATGGCATGTCCTGATTTCTTTTAATGTTGGCAGCTAATTAAAATTGAGAACTCTGTGTAGGTCAAACAAAACACATCTATTGCTTAGACACAGGTAGGATCCGGCAGTGGGAACCAGCTTGTAATCTCGGTTTTTACAAAATATAGGAGAGAAAAGAAAGAAAAAACGTGGAAAGATGAAGAATGAGTTTCTTTCCAAAGAAGGCTTATAATATTTAGAGGCACACAGGTGCACAGAAGAAAGGGTTTTGCATAGCCTCAAGTGTCTCTGCAGAGCTCTTTTTATGTGTTTATCTTCACTTGCTTTCTCATCTGCTTCCACCCTTACCCCACAGCTAAGGACACAAACCTGGAATACTAGACAGGAAGGCTTCCTTGAGCTCCATCCCCAGTGTTACCCCTGTAATGGGTATATCCTACTTGAGAGAGTTTTGGGACACTCAATCCTAGCATGACTCAGGTGTCCCAGGCAGAGAGGATACCTGAGAATAACCTTACTGCATTTTCTGCCATAGCAGGTCATTAGCAACCACTGTGTCAGGAACTGCTGGTATAGAATGAAGTTGTAGGGGGTCTGCGCTGGGGCATCATGATGATGTCACCCTTGGTAATGTCTGAGATGTAGCTTTGCTGGAGAAATGTTGACCCACTTTTTATGCCTTATTTGCATGGCTTCCTGGTGAGTAACCTTCCTGTTTTTCTGGGCAGCTAGTCCAGCCTTTTATAAAGGTCAGAGTTCTAAACTTAAAAAAAAATAAAAAATACAGGTCAGAGGGCGCGAGGACAGAAGAAACATGTTTCTGTTTAGAGGCAGGTTTGAGGCCGTGTGTGTGTCAAGCTGGTTCCTGTCCTCTCGTGGGAGAGGTATGAGCTTTGCAAGAGAGCTCTGGCCCCGAGGTGAGAGGTGGCATCAGCAGGGATTCATGGGGCTGAGCCTCTGCTGTTCGACCATGGTGCGCAGTGCTCTGAGCAGCTGCATGAACTGTGTTTCAGCTTTTCCTTTAAACATCTGTTTACTAAGCTTTCATTAGATTTTACTCGAATTATACTGGCTCATTTACTTAGGGCATTTAAAAAAAAAAAAAAACCTCAAGAGATTGGACAAAAAGCCCATTAGATGATGATGTCAAGAAGATGCCGAAAATTTTATGACAGTTGTTATGCTGTCTACTAAGTGGAATATTCAGATACGATTTTAGTCAGGGGTGCAGTCCTCTAATGCTGCTTTATTGAGGTCTGTAAATGTGGAAGTGGCAATACTGCCTGAGTGCCAGCTGTTAGGAGGTGGTGTGCCACGACATAAAGGCTGGTGTCCCATTCGAGCAGTTCTGGGGGCAGTCACCTTTTCTGAATGGGGTGCCACTTGGCATCAGGGTGCAATTTGGGCACATTCTTTTAATGCCCTCCCCGTTTCCTCCCTATCACTCCCCTGCCATGGTGTGATTGCTTCCTGTGTCTGCAGGCTCCATTCATTGTACCCTTTCTTTCCATTTAATTGCCGTTTTCACTCACTTTCCGTCATACTAGTTCTTTTCTTCCCACCCACTCTTTCACAGACACTTTTCCACCTCCAGTAACAGTTCAATTCAGCTCAGTCCTCCTTTTTTTTTTTTTTAATTTAAAGTTCAGTGGTGAGTCATGATTGGATGAAACACAACACGACAACTAGTCTTTATAGGAACAGGCATTACTCAGTGGGATCGCCCAGCGTCTATATGGTTGTTCTATCCATGTTCAGCTCTGTTTTCTAGGAAGAGTTAACTGAATGTGGCTATTGAATCCTTCCCCAGAAATCAAAAGTCATTCTGTCTGATGAAAGAGAAGTCAAAACAAATGAGCATTTACAACTCTGCCAGTGAATTAGTATTCATCAGATAATAAGATGGAAAGTTTTTCAAATGTATTGTTGATTCTAGAATCTTGGCAAACAGAATGAGCAGCAAGTGAAGCTCTTAGGCGTCAAGGAAAATCCCGGGATGATTGGAAATGAACTTACTCTCTAATACATCTCCCGCTAGAGCAGTTCATCTGCCTAAAAAACAAAACCAGATCAAAACCTTGACCGCAATATTCATGGACAGTGTGTTATCTGTGAACCTTTAACCTGTTGCATGTTTGTTCTTGAGCTAAAGTACTTGTGGACCCTGATTCATAAACATATAAATTCATTTGTTCAGTAAGTAAGATTCTAGCAGTGAACAAAGGTTACAGTCCCTACTCTTTTTTAAAAAAATTTTTTTTTATTGTACTTTAGATGAAGGTTTACAGAACAAATAGTTTCTCATTAAACAGTCAGTACACAGATTGTTTTATGACGTTGGTTAACAACCCCACGACATGTCAACACTCTCCCTTCTCGACCTTAGAGGACCTTTTTTTTGGTGAAAATATACATTGCCAAAGTTACACCATTTCAAAAGTTTCTACATGTACAATTCAGTGACACCGATTACATTCTTCCAGTTGTGCTGCTATTCTCACTACCCTTTTACAAATTATTCCATCACCATTATCTTCAACTTACTGCCCCCTAGGCTTCCCATCAAACCTTTTGAGTTGCTGTTGTCAATTTGATCTCACATAGATAATTCTTTT